TCACACGATGCCTTGAGTGGCTTCTGACGTGCTCCAGGCTTCAAGGCCATACCACAGCACATGGCAGTTTCCAATCCACCCTGGTCTCGTGCATCCAAGGATCTCTTGGCTTGTTTTGTACAAGCGCATCCCTGACCAGAAAGGCATAGTGATAAGGGGTGGAAAAAGCTAAAGGATGCCAAAGGAATATTTCGACATGTGCAGCTATGAGATAATGGACGAATAAACAACAGTAAGTAAACAACATATATCTAGAATCTGCATCTTACTAACTTACAGTACTGGAACAAACATGGAGACATTCCTATACATACCTATGCCCATATACAGCATCAATGATTCTTGAATGGCCCCCAACATCCTTTGACAGCCCTATGATTCCAACTGAGTTCGCACTCTGAAATTTGACTAGCCCAACTTATATAGTTCTACCATATTCATGTATTCATCTAAAGAATGCCTACAAGCTGAGCTTCGTTGCACGAGAAATCCTCTGAGCGACATCATCTAAAACCAAGTCCCAATTCCCATACCATTTCTCTACACCAGCCCACCTGCCATGGAGAGCGCCATGAAATCAGCAGCTGGAAGTTGCCAACAAAGATTCTCCAGTGGAATATCTATCAATGACCTTGGCTGCTGGGACCAGCTGGATCTCTTGCCATTTTCCCGGCCAGGGATTGGATTCAAGCGGGATCGTGTTTCTTTGAACAGCACTGAAAGTAAAGAAACATAAAGCACCACTTCCATAAATTCGGAATACCTTCCAGCAAACTGATCCAACCTGGCTCCAATCTCAGGTCTGCCATGGGACGCACATCCGTTCTGACTCTGCAGCTTTGCCAGGCGTTGCTGCAGGAACACCACGTCTGCCTCCAAGTCCTTTGCAATGCTACTGCTCCAATCCCAGCATCCAAAATGGCCTTCCAATATGACTGTGACGTGGATTTTTCCAAGGATTCAACATGCTCAAATTGTATACAGCAAGCTGGATGGATGGATGACAATCAAAATGCGGAGGAAACCGAGGACTTTTTGAACATGCCGCTTCTGAAAAGTTCTGATTTCTGATCCCATACTCCTGGTTAGTTCTTGTCCATTGAATTTTAACATCAATCTACCAATTTGTGTTTGTCTAGAAATAGGGTACCCCAAAATCCACTGATTAACAGTAGGTTCCCTAGTCAAATCCCATTTTGTGGGCATATCGGGATATCCCATTTTCAGACAAACCTACCTTTGCCATGCCCCAAGCCGCATCCCAGTCCTCCAACTCCTTCTCCAGCTCTTCTAGCTGGGCGTCATCTCCAGCCTCGTCCATGGGGGCTTAGGTCAACATGACATCATCAATAGATATCCAAAGTCGTTGGGTTTGTTGTCGTATCTATGGTATACAGGGAAAATCCATTAAAAAAAAGAAACGAAATGCGTTTTTTTACCGGTTTTCGCACATATTTTGTTTTTGGGTCCTGTATAGACTTTCCAGGCATCCATTTCTGGAAGCTGCTTCAATGAAGCCAGCACCAATCAAACATGTGGGGAAGTAATAATTCGAGGCTTGGGACAAGGGATCGCCAGTGTGTAATGGGGCTCTCTGGCACCTTTGCAGTTTTTTTCAGTCATTACTGCCTATCAATCAATGAAACCTTTCATAACCTCAATCAATTCGTATCCATTGAAGCGTGAACTGTTCCAAAAGACCATTATGTGTGGCCTCTTCCAGTCTCGAGACAGGGCTCCCTTCCATGGCATTGATTCATGATGTGCATGAGACTATGCCAGCTGTACTTCCTGGGCTGGTTCTCTGGGAGCATTGGCCTCCAAAATTCACCAGAATTGTCTACTTGAATAGAAGCCAGTGGTTGGCGTGTCCATGAGTCTCTCGTTGAGAATCCTTCATGAACCTTTGGGGTGCCGGAAGAAGCCAGTGTGTTCAAACTAACTGGAGCTATAACCCAAGGTGGCTGGAACGCCCCCAAAGATGCAACTTCTTGATGTCTATCTATTGCAATGAATTGTGTTGTGGCTCCAAAGAGAAGGAGATGGCAGGCCATGGCATCTTAACATCAAAAAATATGAAGAAGAGACTTGGAGTGGATATGAGTGGATCCATATCTGTGACTTTGAGCCGAATCGGCTGTCAAATGTTCATCATTCATCAACAAAACCAACTCAGTCGATTTGTCAGGGCTATGTAATAGTATTTTTCCAGTGCTGACTACACTGATATTTCATGATATTTCCATCTGCAACCATGGACCAAGAATGTCGTCCCACCTTCCACTTGTTCAAACCACACGGGTCAATCCTGTCAGCTGCACCATCGACAGGCAAAATTCTGTCCAAGGCGTGAGCAGCAAATCTGTTTGCTGTCAGCTCTTGATCCTCTTCGATCATTGGAAAAGTATGGAAAATTATGGAAAATGATGAAACATAAGCAAGTTCACGGCATCTGTGAAACAGCTACAGCTCAGTTGAGCCAAGCGAAGTAATTCAAACGTTTTCTTTGGCCTGGGTAGAGCCTCTTCCTCTACCGCAGGCTTCGAGATGTAAAGTGTACCATGTTTCTCCGGTGCAAGAGCGCTACTAGAAGGTGGCGATCAACGCCGAGAAACTTGAAAGTGCTGCGACCATCAGGGAGAAGAGTGTGTCTCCGACCAATGACCGCAGTGTCCCACTTGTATCCACTTGTAGCAATACCCCCGGCTACAACACTGCGTTCTCCTTCACGATCTTGGAGTCTGTTGCTGATGCCATCAATGACAAAGCAAAGGCTTGGCTGACAGCAATGCATCTCCACAAATCATAGTCTTCTCAATGGTGGTTGTCAAATCACATCATCCAACGCACAGAAGTTTTTGCTGTACTTCACAGTCTCTGAGCTTTCCATTTCCTGCCACAACAAAGTACATTTATTTCTGAAACACACTTGCGGTAGTGATGCAGTCAAATTTCATATTGCTGATGGAAAATGATGTAAACAAATCCACCCTACCACTCTTGAAAGGACTGACCCCTTGGTGCAGCCAGCCTGAGCAGCTGTGTGGCTCAGCTAGATGATACTGGATACATCACGTCGGTTCGGATGACCTGAGTGACAATGATTTAGCTTCGGGGAAGTTCAGGGAATGTGCACAGACGAACAAAAATAAGACTGAATCAGATTGAAAGACAAAATCCCCTGCTCTATACCCTACAAATAGATCTCTCTAACGAGTCATACTTCTATTTGTGTAGGCAGTAAAAGCTGCGAAGCTTTGGCTGCCAGCAGACATACTTCTCCGAGTTCTTGGGTTCAGTCCCAGCATGCAGCAAGGTCTGTGTGAAAATCACCATATCTCCAGTTGCCACTGGAGCATCCACGCAATGGCTACAAGACCAATCGCAACGGCCACAACGTGCTACCTGTGCCAATGATTTGGCCAATGATATGACAGATATGACCCAAACGATCTGACTCTAGAACTGCTGCTTATTTAGACACATGACAGGAAGAGTCTAGAGTCTAGAATGCCCTTTTGAGCCTCAGGGCACAGTGGCGAAACAAAGCGAGTAGAGCCATCATCGCAGCCAGTGCTGTCTGAGAGGTACCTCACAGCCGGAATCAATAAAGAGGTGCATGGATGTCTCTACCAAACTGTTCGAACAACAAGTTGTGAGCCTTATCAGTTTTCAGTGACCAAAAAGAAAGTCCATCACCAAACCTGCTTGATCTTGGAAGGGAAATACCAACAATGGGATCCAATGGCTCTTCATCCCCAACTCTCAGGTGATAATGACATCAGCTGGCCGCAAAAAGACTACCAAGATGACCCAGGTGCAAAAGGGCAGAGAAGACCGATCTCCCACAGTCTTTGCGGTTTTCACCATCTTGGTGTGGAGCAAAATAGTGGCCCTGTACACAGCATGGCTGTAGCAATCCACCGGTGTGAGCACAAGCCACGGTACAGCACAGCCCTAGCTGACATGTTCATGGGTTCATCGTGCAACCAACCCGGCCGCAGCGGTGCCTCGCCATACCTCAAGAAGCGCAGGTGTTCATTCAGCCCCGCAGCTGCAAGACCTTGCACATTGGGCATGAGGTGCTTGACGCGGCTCCAAAGTTTGAAGGAAAGCACCGGATCGAAGAATTGGTTGATCAAATGTCCTGACCAACTCAGCCATGATTGATGAGTAGTGAAAGCTTTCTGGCAACACTAGAACCAGGGTGAAGGGTCTATTGATGCTGGCCGATTGGATGTATAAATACGAAAGGGGAAAACACGATGGAGATATCTCGGGATAACTTTGTAAATTGGTCCTAGTCGAGTCGTTTGGGAGTCATGGCTATGCTTCTCCGCTTGGAGTGCAACCGTCAACACTTCCAATCCTGCTATTTGGGCTTAGAACACATTCAACGAATTGCTTGCCAAGTCACCATTTGCTTGCACCCAATCAGCGCGTGACCTTTATCTAATTAGCCACATCGTTAGGAATGGACTGGAATGCACCCTCCAAGGACTCCAAGCACACTAAGTAAAATATGAGACACACACACAAACTCAGCATGAACTGTTAGCACGTCGGAAACTGAGAATTGGTTGCGATAAACCTCCCATTGCCAAAATCACTCACATCAGCGTCACCTCAATGTTGTCACAGCATACATCTTCTGCCAAGTGACAATCCCCATTCTCGGATCCTTAAAAGCTGATATGGTCAGTAGACATCAAAATCATGATTGTATCAGAGGCTCAAGATTTGTTAAAGCATGCGAGGCACCGACATCCCTTATATAGGACTTTGTACTGATCTTTTGACAAAATGGTTGTCCCATTGCATCCTCGTTCAACCTGCACCATGCTTCAGATTTTGAAAGCAGTGCATCCAAGGATCGCTTGAACTTCGGAGGGTTTCAGAACCTCTCTCAGCACCCACACCTGCACATGCCATAACTACCATTGTGGGCATATGGGAGTTCTCACTATGCATATTGTATGAATCATTCAGTACCCCTACATCACTTTGATTGCTTGATACCGAAGACCGCAAAAGATAGGTAAATATTCCTCTTGGATGGCTTGTCGCCCTTCCAAAAATCCTTTTCAGGATGCTAATTCTTCCTCCATGAACAAATATATTATATATGTTAAATTTATGTTCTAATATGTTTGATTCTTAAATTTCTTGACCCAGAAATCTTCAACGGATGCCATCCAGGTCTCTACTGCTCTCCCCTGCCTCTTGCTCAGGTCTCGCCCACGACAACGGCAGGGCGTCGATGCCCTTCGCCGTGCCACCGCAGGTGGCGCTGCAGAGCGGCGCGCAGAGCGAACGGCGCTCCAGCGGGCGTTCGATCTCCTGCAGGTGGTGGTGGGTGGAAATGCCTAGGGGAAATGGGGAGGAACCGTGGAAACAGAAGGAAACAAAAACAACTAAAACATACTAAAACAACCCCAAGCCGCAAGCTACATGCACCGGACAAAATATGGATTTGTCTGAGAATTGGGTATACGGTATATACCTCAAATTCTCATGGTTGTCATCATGTTGCCTCTTCGAAATTGCCATAAATTGCATGACCGGACTCTCCTCACAGAGCTTTCGCACACTGCTCTCAGAGATGTCATCGGCTCCAGCTAGCTGCCTCTTGGCCTGGAAAATCACCAAGTTCAAGAAGGAAATGTAAACTACAGCAACACTTCAAAGGATATAATATATAGTCAGGATTAATAAACCCCCCGAATTAGCGAATCCCCGTCCCTCCGAAAATTTTGGGGCAATACTAAAGTCCTCTACGTGCTGATTTCCCCCCCTAATAATAGATATGTACCCCCTAATTAGCGAATCCCCTCTGGGATCCCCATTTTTTTGGTGGCACTAATTTGCTATTACTCCCTTTTACTTTTTAATTCGGATTACAATTTCCAGGGTTACTTCCTATTTTGGTTTACCATAGGTATTCTTATCTTTTCTCACTGGAATCTGATGGTTTACCATTCATTTTCGAATCTTCCCTCATAGGAATTTGATGGTTTCTACGTGGTTTCCTCATCTTCCCTCAAAGGAATTTGATGGTTTACCAGAGGTTTTCTGATCATGTCTCATTGGAATTTTATGGTTTACCCTAGGTTTTCTTATCTTTTCTCATAGGAATCTCATGGTTTACCATTCATTTTCGAATCTTCCCTCATAGGAATTTGATGGTTTCTACGTGGTTTCCTCATCTTCCCTCAAAGGAATTTGATGGTTTACCAAAGGTTTTCTGATCATGTCTCATTGGATTTTTGTATGGTTTACCATTAATTTTCGAATGTTTCCTCATAGGAATTTCATGGTTTCTACGTGGTTTCCTCATCTTCCCTCATAGGAATTTGATTGTTTACCAGAAGTTTTCTGATCATGTCTCATTGGAATTTTATGGTTTACCCTAGGTTTTCTTATCTTTTCTCATAGGAATCTCATGGTTTACCATTCATTTTCGAATCTTCCCTCATAGGAATTTGATGGTTTCTACGTGGTTTCCTCATCTTCCCTCAAAGGATTTTGATGGTTAACCATAGGTTTTCTCATCTTTTCTCATAGGAATCTGATGGTTTACCATAGGTTTTCTCATCTTTTCTCATAGGAATCTCATGGTTTACCATTCATTTTCGAATCTTCCCTCATAGGAGTCTGATGGTTTACCATAGGTTTGCTTATCTTTTCTCATAGGAATCTGATCTTTCCTCATCCACCTCGCAAGTATGCTCTTGCAACGTGGCACTTTTTTTACTACTGCTACTACTACTACTACTACTCCTCCTGCTGCTGCTGCTTCTTCTACTGCTGTTACTACTGCTACTACTGCTACTACTACTACTACTGATACTGCTGCTACTGCTACTACGGCTACTACTTCTACGACGACGACGACGTAATTTGATATGCACATATACAAGTGGATCCGGATAAGCCACAACCAAAAAAAAAGAGGGCATCTTGAAGGCACCCTCTATCAGTGCAAGGGCTGTGCTTTCAGGGGGTCGAAGCCGCACTATTGCCAAACACACTGGTTTCAGATGTTTTTTGTGGGTTGGCTCATCACGTTGGGAAGAGGTGACTCTCTTTCATTGCAAGAGCTGTGCTTTCATTAGGTCGAAGCCACGCTATTGCCAAACACACTGGTTTCAGATGTTTTTTTGTGGGTTGGCTCATCATGTTGGGAAGAGGTGACTCTCTTTCATTGCAAGAGCTGTGCTTTCATTAGGTCGAAGCCGCGCTAGTGCCAAACACACTGGTTTCAGAGGTTTTTTGGCTCATGATGATGGGAAAAGTTGACTTTTTATCGTTGCAAGAGCCTTTCGTGAGCTGGAGGCCACTACCAAAGGGTTGGGGAGGGTTATTTGGGGGGGTTTCATTAATTGGGGGGGTTGTTTGGGGGTTTGGCTGCGGGTTTGGTTGGGGGGTTAGGGGGGTGTTGCGCATTGTGTTTTTGATTCCGGCAAACCCCTTCCAGGCCCAGTCAGTGGTTCTATAAAGCCATTTTTTGCCATTTAGGGCAAGCCCCCATGGCATAGTGGTATTGAATAGGCTTTGGGCCGATGGGCCCAGGTTCGATTCCCGGAGGGTGCGTCTTGCAGCCCGGGGGTGGCACACAGCTGGCTTGAATGCTTGTGTGTTGTGCCTCTTTCTCTGCCAATGTCTTGCTGTTATGTTAGCTACCTTTGCCTGCTTCTGGACATTGCCTCTAATTACTTCCAGTGGCTTTCTTTCATTGCAAGAGTTGTGCTTTCCGTACGTCGAAGCCGCACTATTGCCAGCACACTGGTTTCAGAGGTTTTTTGTGGGTTGGCTCATCATGTTGGGAAGAGGTGACTCTCTTTCATTGCAAGAGCTGTGCTTTCATTAGGTCGAAGCCGCGCTAATGCCAAACACACTGGTTTCAGAGGTTTTTTGTGCGTTGGCTCATCACGTTGGGAAGAGGTGACTCTCTTTCATTGCAAGAGCTGTGCTTTCATTAGGTCGAAGCCGCGCTATTGCCAAACACACTGGTTTCAGAGGTTTCTTGTGGGTTGGCTCATCATGTTGGGAAGAGGTGACTCTCTTTCATTGCAAGAGCTGTGCTTTCAGTAGGTCGAGCCGCACTATTGCCAAACAGACTGGTTTCAGATGTTTTTTGTGAAGTTGCCATCAATTGGGCAATTAATTATTCAACAACTACATCAACATTGCCTGATCTTTCCTCATCCACCTCGCATGTGTAATATACGTTTGCAATGTGGCAGTTTCAAGACGCCAAAACTGGAAAAAAAAAACATCCCCCAAATGATCGATTTCTAATTAAAATCTAATTAAAACATGCTGTTTTTGGGAGCTCAGAAAGGCTACCCCCCTTGAGCGGTGTCCCCCCCACAAATAAAAGGACGCCCCCCCCAATTAGTAAACCCCAGCCAGCCGCGATAAGTTTTTTTGTATGCGTGCTTCAGATTGCAAGCAATTAAGCAATGGATTAGTTCAACAACTACATCAACATTGCCTGATCTTTCCTCATCCACCTCGCAAGTATAATATACGTTCTTGCAATGTGGCAGTTTCAAGACGCCAAAATTGGAAAAAAAAAAACGCATCCCCCAAATGATCGATTTTTAATTAAAATCTAATTAAAAAATGCTGTTTTTGGGAGCTCAGAAAGGCTACCCCCCTTGAGCGGTGTCCCCCCCACAAATAAAAGGACGCCCCCCCCCAATTAGTAAACCCCAGCCAGCCGCGATGAATTTTTTTGTATGCGTGCTTCAGATTGCAATCAATTAAGCAATGAATTGATTCAACAACTACATCAACATTGCCTGATCTTTCCTCATCCACCTCGCAAATATATTTTTGCAATGTGGCAATTTCAAGACGCCAAAACTGGAAAATAAAACGCATCCCCCAAATGATCGATTTCTAATTAAAATCTAATTAAAACATGCTGTTTTTGGGAGCTCAGAAAGGCTACCCCCCTTGAGCGGTGTCCCCCCCACAAATAAAAGGACGCCCCCCCCAATTAGTAAACCCCAGCCAGCCGCGATGACTTTTTTATATGCGTACTTCAGATTGCAATCAATTAAGCAATGAATTGATTCAACAACTACATCAACATTGCCTGATCTTTCCTCATCCACCTCGCAAATATATGTTTGCAATGTGGCAATTTCAAGACGCCAAAACTAGAAAATAAAACGCATCCCCCAAATGATCGATTTCTAATTAAAATCTAATTAAAAAATGCTGTTTTTGGGAGCTCAGAAAGGCTACCCCCCTTGAGCGGTGTCCCCCCCACAAATAAAAGCACGCCCCCCCGAATTAGTAAACCCCAGCCAGCCGCGATGACTTTTTTATATGCGTGCTTCAGATTGCAATCAATTAAGCAATGAATTAGTTCAACAACTACATCAACATTGCCTGATCTTTCCTCATCCACCTCGCAAATATATTTTTGCAATGTGGCAATTTCAAGACGCCAAAACTGGAAAAAAAAAACGCATCCCCCAAATGATCGATTTCTAATTAAAATTTAATTAAAAAATGCTGTTTTTGGGAGCTCAGAAAGGCTACCCCCCTTGAGCGGTGTCCCCCCCCACAAATAAAAGGACGCCCCCCTAATTAGTAAACCCCAGCCAGCCGCGATGAGTTTTTTATATGCGTGCTTCAGACTGCAATCAATTAAGCAATGAATTAGTTCAACAACTATATCAACATTGCCTGATCTTTCCTCATCCACCTCGCAAGTATAATATACTTTTGCAATGTGCCAGTTTCAAGACGCCAAAACTGGAAAAAAAAATGCATCCCCCAAATGATCGATTTCTAATTAAAATCTAATTAAAAAATTCTGTTTCTGGGAGCTCAGAAAGGCTACCCCCCTTGAGCGGTGTCCCCCCCACAAATAAAAGGACGCCCCCCCCAATTAGTAAACCCCAGCCAGCCGCGATGAGTTTTTTTATATGCGTGCTTCAGACTGCAATCAATTAAGCAATGAATTAGTTCAACAACTACATATATCAACATTGCCTGATCTTTCCTCATCCACTTCGCAAATATGTTTTTCCAATGTGGCACTTTTTACTACTGCTACTACTACTGCTGCTAATACTACTGCTAATACTACTGCTACTACTACTACTACTACTACTGCTACTACTACCACTATCACTACTGCTGCTGCTACTTTTTCTGCTACTACTGCTACTACTGCTACTTCTTCCTCTTCTACTACTACTAATACTACTAATACTACTAATACTACTCATACTACTAAAACTATTAATAATTACTACTAATACTACAAACTATTACACATTACTACAACTACTACTACTACTACTACTGCTACTACTACTACTGCTGCTACTACTACTACAACTATAACTACAACTACAACTACAACTACTACAACGACGACGTAATTTGATAGAAGGCGCCCTCTATCAGTGCAAGGGCTGTGCTTTCAGTAGGTCGAAACCGCACTATTGCCAAACACACTGGTTTCAGAAGTTTTTTGTGGGTTGGCTCATCATGTTGGGAAGAGGTGGCCCTCTGTCATTGCAAGAGCTGTGCTTTCAGTATCGAAGCCGCGCTATTGCCAAACACACTGGTTTCAGAGGTTTTTTGTGGGTTGGCTCATCATGTTG